CTCAACATTAAAATATCATTAATAATATATTAAATCAGGTTAAGGATGTGGAAATTTTTAATGCAGGAAATATTTATAATAATTTTCTATTGCATAAATTGTTTGTTCAATAAACCAACTGTTGATATGCATCTTTAATAAATATTTTTTTATAAGTATTTACAGTGTTGAACATAATAATTGAACAACGAAATGAAAATAATTGAAGAAGATTAATATTAAAAATATTTTTTAAATTTTTAACATATTTTCGGATATAACTCAAACACACCTCTTTTAATAGCCATAATGTATATCAAATGTTAGGTCTTTCGAATATCTTTCTTTTGATATAAATACATATTCATTCAAAAGTCTTGAAACATATTGGATTATCTCCGAATTTCGCTCATTTTCCTGTTTTTTTTATATCGATTTTGGAGATTTTAAAAATTTTCGCGAAAGAATGTCTAAAGGAATTATTAAAGATTTGGATACCGAGGATATTTGGAACTTCCAAGAATATATTTCACTTAAATCTTTCTATAAGAATTCAGATTGTAAAGTATTAAAATTTAACTGCGACAGGACACAAATATTTGATCTAGCTTATTTCCTCTGACCATTTGAAGTCAAAATCATTTACTCTATCGATTGGAAGCGATACCTCGGTAAAATTAGAACACTAATCTGAAAACTCTGAGGTATTCCACATTTAAATTTTAGTATTATAATCTATATAATCTAGAATTCTTTCTCGTGTCCACGATCTTCCTAGATTTTATTATTCAAAAGTTGGTTAAACCGTTTTCGGAGAAAACAACAATAATTCACAATACAGGTAACCGAGATTATTATAGGTCCGAGATTATTTTGATTAGTAAACAGAAATTACTTTAAGAAGGATGGAACTAGCCCGAAGATATCGCGACTTTTAGATTGAAACCCCAATTTTTTGTCATATTTGAAATATTATAACAACGCAAACATATTTTTATTTATAAAATTTCTTGCGTCATCTGGAAATACAAAATGTCGACTAAAAAATAAAGGTCCAAAGCTTCTCCTTTCTTCGAAATATCTTAACCCAAAGTTTGAGGCCTTTAAAAAACTTTGATCTCTGGATTTCGACTCTCTTTAAATTTTGCTTGTATGTGTAATATATATTGAGCTTTAAAAACTCTTAAACAGTCACGCAGGTCGCAATTTTTGTAAATGCTTCTGCCGGTCCATGTACTTCTGAGACGTAATCTTAATAAGCCAAAGACAAGCTCTTACTCATTGTAGTAAATCTGGTGTGAACAAAGTAAACCCTAAACATACCCGGACAAGGAAGGAAAGTTCAGTGATATCACTTGTATAAGATACCTTACATCCATCACCATTCAATCCAGCACACTTCCCGTTTATCCGACACACTCATTGAGAAAAGAATCCAAAAACCTCACTCTAGGTATACGGATGGACGAAGGCCTTCATACCCCTTCATCCATTCCATAGCCTAAACACTTGATACCACATCATTTCTATTGCTTAGCCTAACTGTTGCCCCCCTGCGGGAAATCTGTTGTCTTTTTTGACAGCACCGAACTTATCCCGAATTATAGACTTTACTGTGTATCAGCTTTTTAACTAGCATTCTCTTCCCGCGTGTTTGGATTTAAACCACAGATACCACGTCCACCCCGAAAGACCTCTCCACTAACCAGGACAAGACAAAGTGCAAAACTCTGCCCTGTGGGCTACCGGTTCTTATGGTAAATGTTTATATAGCTCTCTGGTTTAATCCGAGGTCAAATCATTCTAAAGAAATGGTAAATATACATTTGACATCTGCAGTTTATAGTCCCGGAAGACTAAAGGTACTGATAGCATCTCTTTTCCCTTGCATTGCAATGACACCAAGATTGGGTGAATTCGTCAACGCAATAAGCCCGGAAGGGGGGGAAAAGTACATATATTCCAATTCTTTATAGAAAGCGGGGCCATATCAATCTTTCTGTCCGTATGTATGTTGAAATTTGTTTCCACAATACTCCAGATATCTGCGAGATTCGAATCTTCAATAATTCTATCAGGCATGCTTACGAGAAATACACTATTAAACCTCAGCAATATCGGTCCATAAGTAACGGAGATATGAGCAAAATTCCGCAACAACCCATAACAATATTAAGTTGTTTTTATCATTCTTGATTAGGTTCTTCAGAAACTATAGTAGCTATTTTGAAATAGAATTTTCTTTTGACCAGGGTTTTATATGGTTGAAAATTATCAGAATCAGTTCAAAATTGTATATAGCTGCCATACAAATTTATTTACTCTCGGCAAAAGGATATATTGTTAACAACTCCCACCAAGATATGGGTATTGTCACAAAATTTTGCATTAAAAAATCTTATATCATTAGAAATCGTAATCTCAACTAAAAACTGGATCGGTCCATAGCTCCCATATGGTCCACTTCTGAAACTCAATTACACAAACATAATTCATTAATATATTACCACATCGGCACAAAATTTAAGACGAATATGTTGGGTACATACACGAATTCATTGCGGGATCGGCCCATAGCTTTTATATAATGACCACTTCCGAAAATCACTTAATAATAAATAACTTCTGAATTAATGATGATATTGGAATACAATTATACTCGAATATGTTGTATATATAGTATATATATATATATATATATTATATATAGAAATCATTCTGTGAAAGTGTTTTCCGGATCGTTGCATAATTGGTCATAACTCCCAGATAGGGCCCGCTTCTAAAAATAAATTAATCGTAAATAATTTATTACTAAACGTTAACGGTATTAAGTTCTACAGTTCTAACATAAATTAAATTCATACAAAATTTTGTTTACTTTTATAGAAAATTAAAATTGATTAAAAATTGTTTTAATGTTTCAGTTTTTTACGTTGAATATCACGTGAATAAATTCGCATTCAATAAGAAGCTATAAAGTACTATAAAATACCTCATTTAATCAAAAAAAAAAATATGTTTCTGTGTTCAATATTATATATAATTCAAAAAATATAATTTGATATAATGAAAAAGTACCAAAAGTCCCTTTCAGTAGATTCTAATTCACTAAGGTCCCAACATTTTAAATTTTATTTTCAATATCTATGTTCAATATCGTAAAAATATCAAAAAAAATCTCTCTCAATAAATTCTCATTTAATAAGGAGCGTGTGTCATGTGTTCTGGTTAACTATTTGAAGAATGGAAAAGTGCCAAAGAGTTCCCACTTACAGGATATTATTCAGTCAAGACCTGTATGTTAAAATTTATCTTCCTAGGTTGAATATTTTAGAAAATTCTAAAAGTACCATTAATGAGATGAAAAGTACTAAAAACTTCTCTCTTAAAGAATCTTATTCAATGAGGACCGTGTATGTTTATCAATTGCTTTGAATTAATATTATAGAACATACAAAGAGTATTATTTGAAGAAAGAAAAAGTACCAAAAGTGGAATAAATTCTACCTTAGTGGAAAGAACTAATAAAAAAGTAAAATTTTTCCTCTTTTCACTTAGAAATATGTTTTTTCTAGAATTAAGTTTACAAAATGTTCCGTATTTAAATCTATGTATCACAGATAAAACTCAAACGAATCAAATCTGCATTAATTTGTTCCAGAAAAATTGTGCTTTCAAAAAGTACCAAACAATTTACTCCAATTTGATCCTATAGAGGCCTTAGTACTCGAATTCCAAAATAATATACCAATAGCTTATTTTGTGTGAGTAAATAAACTACTTTTTCAAATTTTATAAAAACTGGCTCAATGAGTTTGAATAAAATTAAATTTCCCGTTTTTCCCTTTTTGGTACTTTTTTTCCCTGTGAAATAGCAAAAATTGTATTACATTAAATATTACAGAGTTAGTCCGTAATTTAATAGGAATAATTCAATAAACCGAAAAGCTTTCTTAAGTGCTAAAAAAAAGTACCACAAATATAGTTTCCTCCCTTTTTGACCCAAAAGGGCTGAATTTTAAAAAAGTACGAAACAGGTGTCTCCTAATTTTGGGAGATGTATCCAAAATATTTATAAAAATTTTATTATGTTAATTAGTTAAAAAGTTATAAAGGGCCAAAAAAGGTACCAAAATCACCTTTGTTACACATTTTCAACCCTTAAAAGTACGAATTTCAAAAAAGTACCAGACACCCTTATTTTAAGAGCAGATACAGGTGCACTTACAATTTTTCTTGTATCACTAATATTAGGTAAGATAATTAGGAAAAGCTGTTTTACCCGTTTTTTTCCTTTTTTACCCATAAATGTACAAATTTCCAAAAATCCCTCCTTAGTGGATCTACATAACCAAAAACACATCTACTGTCAAAATTTCATGATTCTAGGTTCAGCCGTTTGGGCTGTGCGATGATGAATCAGTCAGTCAGTAACGCTACTCTTTTATATATATAGATCATTCTTCGAAAGTTTATTTTCGATGGTTGCATAATTGTTCCCAAAACGATAATTTACTCTAACGTGTTCACAATTTTGTCTGTCACTGTTGTATGTAGTATTTCTAATAATGATATGATTAATTTCATATTATCTATCTTAAAGGAAGAAGTCAAATTGTTATAATAAAAAACAAGACAATAAATGCTTCCAACTGAGTTTTGCTCATTCGTTCGTTTGTTCGTACATTCATTCATTAATTTGTGAGCGACAAAAAGCAACAAAATAATTTAATGTAAATAGTGGTTAATGGTTTGTGTTAGGCTGTATGCATGTATGTATGTAGTTAAACTAGTACGAGTAAGTATCTCAAGTTTTAATAGTAATTTCATGGATTTGGATAGAGTTGACTTGTTGTCTCTTGGATTGTGGTTGTTTGTTTCAATTTTGTCTAGAAAGCTTGCGCGCAAATTTAACGCTAACGTTAAAAGCGCAATTTCAAATTTCATTTAAAGTGTGGTCGACCGTCTATACGTGTTTTTTTATTTTTTGGTTGGAAAAGTATATTTTAGTTAAACGCAAATTGTTTTCAGCAACTATTCGCGATTTAACAACGTTCGTGTAAACAACGTAAAAGTCAAATTGAAAAGTTATTTCAAATTAACCTAAAGTGACAGTCCATATAGTTTATTTGTCAGACTGACTGTCTGCTGTCTGACACAAGTACTTGTCGAATTCAAGTTCAATTATTAAATTTTCGATTTGTAACCGTAATATAAATTTGATAAATTGATCATTCATCATTTTTAAAAAAGAAATCAACTCATCTTTATTAAAACTCTGTGGTTTATTTTGTGAATATCTTACATATTGGTAGTTGGTTTTCCAAAAAAAAAAAACTATTATTATTGTGTTTTATTTAAAAAAAACTTACTTTCGTTTTTCATTCAATCAATGTCGCTGCTGCTGTCTCTATTATTAAATAATTGTCAATTATTCATATCAATCTCCGCCTAAAAAATAAAAACTCAAAGTGAAATTACATCAAAAACTACTAATTTTGGCAAATTGTATTTAAACGCCTGTTTGAGCTTGAAGAGTTCGTTACAAACTTGATCGTGTTACTTGAATCTTAAATTTAAAGTTTTATTTTGTTTTATTATTATTTCTTTTTCAAAGTAAAGCACCCACCTTAAATTATAAATACTTTCTTTTAACATTAAATTAAAAAGCTTTAAATTAAGAAAAAAAAATAACAATAAAAAATAAATTTAATTTCCTAAAAGAAACAAGTGTTTAAAAACTAAACAAAAAAATAAACAATAAAAGACTTATCGGCGGTTTAAATACAAAAACTCACTGAACAAAAGTAATTAAATCTGTTGGGAAAAATGGTTGAAAAAGTTGGTAAGTTAATAAAAATTAACAATTAAATTCATACACTAGACCCTCAAATATCGCAGTCTTGAAATTCATAAACATTTAACTTTTCGCAACTAAATTTAAAGGATTTTTACAAAGTTAAGCATACATATGTATTTCTGAAAAATTAGCAAAAACGCTTTAATACCCTCTGTATGAACCCGAAAGCATGTCTGATCGAATTATTAAAGATTTGGGTCTCGCAGATATCTGGGCTCTTCTGAATATTGATTTTAATATACACACGGACAGATAGACAACTAAATTTAAAAGATTTTACAAAGTTAAACTGACATATTTCTGAAACATTATCAAAAACGCTTAACACCATGTATGAACCCGATAGCATGTCTGATCGAATTATTGAAGATTTGGAGCTCGCAGATATCTGGTGTCTTCTGAAAATTGATTTTAATATACACACGGAGAGACAGACAGACGGACATAATCGAAGATTTGTAAATATCTGAGGTCTTCTGAAAATTGATTTCAAAATACACATGGACAGACAACTAAATTTAAAAGATTTTTTGCAAAGTCTGATCGAATTATTAAAAATTTGGATCTCGCAGATATCTGGGATCTTCTGAATATTGATTTTAATATACACACGGACAGACAGACGGTCAGACGGACATGGTCGAAGATTTGGATTTTGCAAATATCTGAGGTCTTCTGAAAATTGATTTCAATATACACACGCACTTTTTACAAAGTTAAACATAAATATTTCTGAAACATTATCAAAAACGCTTTTATACCTCATGTATGAACCCGAAAGCATGTCTGATCGAATTATTAAAGATTTGGATTTTTCAGATATCACACGGACAGACAGACAGACGGACATGATCGAATTATTCAAGTTTCGGAGCTCGCAGATATCTGGGGTCTAAATCGACTCCGCCATCTATAAGAATCCAGAATATATATATATATATTCTGATATATTGGATTGTTGTTTAGGTTAGTTTATAAGAGGATGTATCTACATCAAAACCGATGAAATACACCGAGGCCACTATCGGGCCTGTTCTGCGAATGTTTAATTTTAAATTTCTAGGTTCAATATTATGGTTGTTTAGGTTGGTTCAAAACAGGATGTATCTAAATCAAAACCGAAGAAATACACCGAGGCCACTATAGGGCCTGTGTGCGCTCCTTTTCGTGGAAAATTTTTGTTGGTAAAAACCAAGACCGTATATAGTATTCACTGAATATATTATCGTCTGAAACTCAGTTTCCTGGACGTAATTCCTAAGAATTTTCCAATCAGTGTTCAAGCTATTTGGATCTAATTTCGGCTAAAGCCCGACAATGCCAAAGAAAGTGCACAAGAGTTTCAGAGTACTATCTACATGCTCTACTTTCGTCTGAATCCGCTCATCCAATTTTGTATAGCAGGAGCCGCAATACATCATACTAACCTCAGACTTGCTTATTTTGAGGAGGCTTCTCGTTCTGCTCTCATTAGAGTCTTCCCATAGGATCTTTGTGGTTCTACCCATCGTTTCATTATTACCGGAGGCCTTATGGGGATTATCTCACCCATATTTTTAATTCTGCCCTCGTTGCGTCAAATAGTTTTGCGTTCGTCAGGTTAACTATCTCAAGCGCCTTCACATTAAAGCTATTACATTTGCTCTTTCGTTGCCGTGGCCTGGTACCCATATGATGTAAACCTTACCTCTGGCAGAGTATTATCACCTGATATTGCCCTAATTGCCTTTCAATATTATAGAAAATTCAAAAAATACCTGTTGAAGATTTAAAAAGTTCCAAAAGGTGCCTCTTATATGATCTCTTTTACTCCGGGCTTTACATACTTTACAGCACTCAGGATATGACCCCTATTAATGCAGTTCGTTGTTTTGGAAGTAGATTGTTCGAGGAAGTAGTGTTCATTTAAATCTTTTTATATCGATATGACGGGGGATACAGCTGAAGAATGAATTTTCCCTATAATGTGTTGTGCTATCACTGGTCAATCAACCGGGTGTGTTAATATCAGGAACAAGATCTCTAATAACACAAAAATACATTTACATCATTATATGAATAAATTCTTAGAGTTTAATACTCTGCAAGTCACCAATAAGTTAGATCGCCCTTCCTGTACGTAGTCAAGTAGCTTCAGAATAAACTTTTAGGCTCTGGTCCATATATGTATGCTTTTTTATACACTTGAAAAATGTGTTTAGTTATTGCACTGTACTCTCATGATGCTATACTTACGGACGTTGAAGTTGAGTCTATTAGCACGACGCTATTCAGAGATTGTTATTAAGTCATGGTTCGATGATTCAGACATGTTATACCTCATTTCCCCAATCTACAAAGGGCTTGGCCTATAATAGAACCAATAAATATAACAGATTTTACTGTTATCGCCAAAAAAGTTCATAGATTTGGAAGTTTGACTGAGTAGGGGACAGATTGAAGTAAACTATAAAATAAAATACCATCCTTGCATACCATAATCGATATCAGATCGTCAAACAAAATTGTGTTATTTTTATCATCATTGTAAGCATTTTGCAACATGGAGACGTTTTTATGTACCCGATGTAATGATTAAAATCAAAAATTTTAGTTTCACTAACGTATGATTATATTTTCGAGTATAAGTGTTAATAAATCATGTATGTATTTCTCATTTGTCACACTTATTATTTAATGCCTTTCAGCAATGTCAAAATTTGTGGGTGTCACCGATATAACGGAAAACAAGAAAATATGGCGAATGTTATTCGGCGAAATGATTGGTACCTTTCTATTGGTAGTAATCGGTGTTGGCAGCTGCACCGGTGGTAGTGATTATTCGCCAACAGTGCCACAGATTGCGTTCACATTTGGTTTAACAGTAGCAACATTGGCACAGGTCAGTTCCAAAAGCATATAAGAAATACCTAAACAAATAAAAACAATTATAATAACCGTTGATTATTAAAATTAGTTAAATACTTTTTTATATAGACTTTTGGTCATATTAGCGGTTGTCATATAAATCCAGCCGTTACTATTAGTTTTGTAATTGTTGGCGAAATGAGTGTTTTGAAGGGTATTTTCTATATCATCGTACAGTGTGTGGGTGCTATTGCTGGTGCTGCAGTTTTAAGTGTAAGTAGTTTTTGTTTTTAATTTGAAGTATTTTAATGTGATTAATTATTTTATTATTTGTATTTAATATTTTTATGACAGATAGCCATACCAGAGACTATAGGCGGTGTTGGTCTTGGAGTTTTCTTCTATGGCACCCACACTGGGCGAAGGTCAGGCGGTATTGATTGAAGCTTTAATTACTTCTATTTTGATTTTAGTTGTCAAAGGTGTTTGTGATCCGAAACGCCAAGATGTTAAGGGTTCAGCACCGTTGGCAATTGGTTTTAGCTATTGTGACGGGTCATTTGTGTGCGGTAAGTGTAGATAGATAGATAGATAGATAGATAGATAGATAGATAGATAGATAGATAGATAGATAGATAGATAGATAGATAGATAGATAGATAGATAGATAGATAGATAGATAGATAGATAGATAGATAGATAGATAGATAGATAGATAGATCGATAGATAGCTAGATAGATAGATAGATAGATAGATAGATAGATAGATAGATAGATAGATAGCTCGCTAGCTCGCCGCTCGCTCGCTAGATCGCTCGCTCGTCGCTCGCTCGCTCGATCCTGCTCGCTCTCGCTCGTCGCTCGCTCTCGCTCGCTCGCTCGCTCGCTAGCTCGCTCGCTCGCTCGCTCGCTCGCTCGCTCGCTCGCTCGCTCGCTCTCTCGCTCGCTCGCTCGCTCGCTCCTCGCTCGCTCGCTCGCTCGCTCGCTCGCTCGCTCGCTCGCTCGCTCGCTCTCTCGCTCGCTCGCTCGCTCGCTCGCTCGCTCGCTCGCTCGCTCGCTCGCTCGCTCGCTCGCTCGCTCGCTCGCTCTCGCTCGCTCGCTCGCTCGCTCGCTCGCTCGCTCGTGCTCGCTCGCTCGCTCGCTCGCTCGCTCGCTCGCTCGCTCGCTCGCTCGCTCGCTCGCTCGCTCGCTCGCTCGCTCGCTCGCTCGCTCGCTCGCTCGCTCGCTCGCTCGCTCGCTCGCTCGCTCGCTCGCTCGCTCTCGCTCGCTCGCTCGCTCGCTCGCTCGCTCGCTCGATGATAGATAGATAGGATAGATAGCTAGATGCTAGATAGATCGAGTAGATGATAGATAGATAGATCGTAGATGCTAGTAGAGTCGCTAGATAGAGTGAGATAGATAATAGTTTATAGATGATAGTTCGCTAGATAGAAGTGATAGATAGCTAGATTGTAGATTCGACTAGATCGTAGCTAGAGTGGATAGATAGATTAGTAGTGAATAGTGGTTAGATAGCTAGCGATTAGGGTTTATGGTCCAGCTAGCCCTTCAATTCGACTAAATTTGGCGAAATTAATTAAACTTTTCTAATTTACTTACTCTTCAGATTAAACTCACTGGTGCCAGCATGAATCCAGCTCGTTCATTTGGACCCGCTGTTGTACATAGCATGTGGACGGGACATTGGGTTTATTGGGTCGGGCCCATAGTGGGCAGTATAATAGCCGCCATTATCTATAAAATCTTTTTTCAAGTACGCAAAGGTGACGATGAAAGTGATTCCTATGATTTTTAATTGCATTTAAATTGTAAATAAATAATTCAAATTTGTAAAATTTATATTAATTAGAAAGTAAGTTTAAACTACATTTTTTTGTTGTTTTAAAACAAATCTTCAAATTTAAATAATAAAATATTTTTAATAATAAATTTATTTGCTACTGTAATTTAATTTTTTTATAAAGAAAACACGACCAAATGTAATAATATGATAAAAAAAACAAATTTCAATGGTAAGTGATCTGATCAAAAGTATTAGCCATTGGCAACATATAATTTTGTCAATTAGATTTAATTTTATTAAACATTCTCAACACCTTAAAAACCACCTTCAATGACATTGAATTTCTATTTTTTATACAAAATAATAAAAACATAAAGATTTTAACAATTATTTTGTAGCTCTTATTGGCATGACGTGCAGAAAAAGTGTTTTATAAATGTTTTTTGTTAAATCGATGGACCAATATTCTCCATACAATAGGTGCGTGTTTAAATAATTTGAAATACTCGTAAAAGCAGAAAAAAATTTATGCATGTGCACATATTTTATACATTAAAAATAACTGTAGTGGACAAAACTGATACAACTTTATTAGAAACTATATATTAAACATATCTAAACTTCTATTATTTGTCCTCCACTGTACAATAACACTTATCGTTTGATACGCTCATTCATACATGGTTACAGTTAATAGTGAATTTGATTTGCCTGAGGTTAAACAATTAAAGAATAGTATGTTACAATAATTTTATTAACAAAACGTGATATAAAGTATAATAATAAATTTATTATCATATAGAAACACGAGTATCTATTTAGATCTGAACATAATTATCATTTCAATATAAGAAACAAAGAAATAGTTATAAATGTGTTAGAAACTATTGGCACCTTAAAAGAAATTGATTTAAATGATTTATAAATGTTTGACATGAGAACCAACACGTTCCAAATGGGTCAAGTGTAAACAAAATTTATTTTTATTTTGTTTTACTTTTATTAATTATTATTTCATTCTAAATAGATTACTAGGTCTTACTTTTAATGGGAATCAAATTAACGTATCTATATACTAGACTCTAGACTAAACTAAACTATACACAAGACTATAGACTAGACTAGTCTATAGTCTAGTCTATAGTCTTGTGTATAGACTAGACTATAGACTAGACTATAGACTAGACTATAGACTAGACTATAGACTAGACTATAGACTAGACTATAGACTAGACTATAGACTAGACTATAGACTATAGACTAGACTATAGACTAGACTATAGACCAGACTATAGACTAGACTATAGACTAGACTATAGACTAGACTATAGACTAGACTATAGACTAGACTATAGACTAGACTATAGACTAGACTATAGACTAGACTATAGACTAGACTATACTAGACTATAGACTAGACTATAGACTAGACTATAGACTAGACTATAGACTAGACTATAGACTAGACTATAGACTAGACTATAGACTAGACTATAGACTAGACTATAGACTAGACAATAGACTAGACTATAGACTAGACTATAGACTAGACAATAGACTAGACTATAGACTAGACTATAGACTTTTTTTTTGTTTTTTTTTTTGTATAGTGGAGGAGGAAACCTTACATAGGTCCCATAAAGGGTATGTCGGATTCCTACTGGCTAAAACCACCTCCATCGTCAACACCACACTCCGCGGAAACTGCCACCAGCTACTACTTCGCGGGGTGGTCAGCTTTATCGCTGAACTTCCTTAACTCTCAGAGTTCGTCTCCTAGGCCCCGTTTTGGGCCTTGAAGTTATGCACGATTCCAACCTGCTTCGTAGTCCAGAGAATTGTGGGCACTTAAAAACGACATGTTCTACTGTTTCATCTAATTCTGGGCATCTTGGTGAGTTGTCATGGCCAAACCGGTGTAAATAGCTCCAATGGATACCATGTCCTGTAAGGAATTGCGTCAAATGGTAGTTCAGCTCACCATGGCGTCAATTTATCCATGTATTGATGTCTGGGATTAGTTGAAAGGTCCATCGGCCCTTACTTGTACTTTCCCATCTCCTCTGCCATTCCCTCATAGTTTTCTCCCTTTCTATCCGGTTTATTTCCACCTTTGGGATATCTGGGTTTCTAAGTTTGTCTTCGTAGACAGCCGATAGTTCTTTGGCTGCTAAGTCCACAGGTATTATGCCCGCTACTACATTTGCTGCTTCTGCAGAAATTGTCCTGTAACCACTACATACTCTTAGGCAGCTTCTTCTATGTATTGCAGAAATGTTTTTTCTAGATGCTTCAGATATTGCGCTTTCCCAGATTGGTGCTCCATAAAGAATAACTGAGTTCCTTACCCTTGAAATTAAAATTCTTCTACTCTGTCGTGGGCCACCGATGTTTGGCATCATTCTTGCTAAGGCATTTGATACAGCTGTTGCTTTCTCACATGTATATTCTATGTGTTTCTTAAAGTTTAGGCGATCGTCAACCATTATACCTAAGTATTTAATAGATTCAGACGATTTGATTTCAGTTGTCCCCACAGTAAATGAAAGAGTCTCTATCTCCCTCTTTCCGCTTATAAGCACTGCCTCCGTTTTATGCTCTGCAAGTTTCAGATTCATATCTTTCATCCAATTTCTAATAATTGCAATTGATTCGTTCGCATATAACTGGACTTCATCCAGGTGACGTGCTCTGACAAGAATTGCGACGTCGTCTGCGAATCCTATAACGGTCGCTTCTTCTGGGATTCTTAAGTCAAATATGCCATTGTACATAATATTCCACAGGAGTGGTCCTAGGACTGATCCTTGTGGGACACCTGATGTAATATAATACGATTCCGTACCATTGTCAGTTTCGAACCACAGTGTTCTGTTTGAGAAGTAATCCTTTATTATTGCAGTAAGGTAGTCGGGGATGTTAAGAGATCTTAACGAGGAAATAATGTGTTTCCATCCCGCAGAGTTAAAAGCATTTTTAACATCTAGTGTAATTATGGCACAGTAATATCTATTCTTGCCTTTTCTATTGATTGCATTCATAGCTGTTTCAGTTACGAAATTCACTGCATCAATTGTTGATCTAGCCTTTCTAAATCCATATTGCCTATCCGATAGCCCACAGTTTTCTTCTACTGCCTTTCACAGTCTTGTATAGACAATTCGTTCCAAGCATTTGCCTAAGGTGTCGAGAAGACAGATTGGTCGGTTTGATTGTGGTTCACCTAATGTTTTTCCTGCTTTTGGTATCAGAATTAGTTTTTGTTTCTTCCAGATCTCGGGCAATTTCCCCTCTCTGAGACTTCTGCTGAAAAGTCTGGTAAAAATCTCTGGTTTTATCTTTAAAGCCCTATCCGGAATGAAGTCAAGGCCTGGTGCTTTGTTATCGCCAATCCTTGCACAGAGGTTTATTATTTCCTCCTCTGTCACTTCTATCTCGCCTTGTTGCACGATTGAATACGGCTTTGAGTACGGTTCTTCTTCCGGGAATAGAACTGATACTATAGACTAGACTATAGACTAGACTATAGAGTAGACTATAGAGTAGACTATAGACTAGACTATAGAGTAGACTATAGACTAGACTATAGACTAGACTATAGACTAGACTATAGACTAGACTATAGACTAGACTATAGACTAGACTATAGACTAGACTATAGACTAGACTATAGACTAGACTATAGACTAGACTATAGACTAGACTATAGACTAGACTATAGACTAGACTATAGACTAGACTATAGACTAGACTATAGACTAGACTATAGACTAGACTATAGACTAGACTATAGACTAGACTATAGACTAGACTAGACTATAGACTAGACTATAGACTAGACTATAGGCTATAGACTAGACTATAGACTAGACTATAGACTAGACTATAGACTAGACTATAGACTAGACTATAGACTAGACTATAGACTAGACTATAGACTAGACTATAGACTAGACTATAGACTAGACTATAGACTAGACTATAGACTAGACTATAGACTAGACTATAGACTAGACTATAGACTAGACCATAGACTATTGACTAGACTATAGACTAGACTATAGACTAGACTATAGACTAGACTATAGACTAGACTATAGACTAGACTATAGACTAGACTATAGACTAGACTATAGACTAGACTATAGACTAGACTATAGACTAGACTATAGACTAGACTATAGACTATACTATAGACTAGACTATAGACTAGACAATAGACTAGACTATAGACTAGACTATAGACTAGACTATAGACTAGACTAGACTAGACTAGACTAGACTAGACTAGACTAGACTATAGACTAGACTAGACTATAGACTAGACTAGACTAGACTAGACTAGACTAGACTAGACTAGACTAGGCTAGACTAGACTAGACTAGACTAGACTAGACTAGACTAGACTAGACTAGACTAGACTATAGACTATAGACTAGACTATAGACTAGACAATAGACAAGACTATAGACTATACTATAGACTAGACTATAGACTAGACTATAGACTAGACTATAGACTAGACTATGGACTAGACTATAGACTAGACTATAGACTAGACTATAGACTAGACTATAGACTAGACTATAGACTAGACAATAGACTAGACTATAGACTAGACTATAGACTAGACTATAGACTAGACTATAGACTAGACTATAGACTAGACTATAGACTAGACTAGACTATAGACTAGACTAGACTAGACTAGGCTAGGCTAGACTAGACTAGACTAGACTAGACTAGACTGGACTAGACTAGACTAGACTAGACTAGACTAGACTAGACTGGACTATAGACTATAGACTAGACTATAGACTAGACAATAGACTATACTATAGACTAGACTATAGACTAGACTATAGACTAGACTATAGACTAGACTATTGACTAGACTATAGGCTAGACTATAGTCTAGACTATAGACTAGACTATAGACTAGACTATAGACTAGACTATAGACTAGACTATAGACTAGACTATAGACTAGACTATAGACTAGACTATAGACTAGACTATAGACTAGACAATAGACTAGACTATAGACTAGACTATAGACTAGACTATAGACTAGACTATAGACTAGACTATAGACTAGACTATAGACTAGACTATAGACTAGACTATTGACTAGACTATAGACTAGACTATAGACTAGACTATAGACTAGACTAGACTATAGACTAGACTATAAACTAGACTATAGACTAGACAATAGACTAGACTATAGACTAGACTATAGACTAGACTATAGACTAGACTATAGACTAGACTATTGACTAGACTATAGACTAGACTATTGACTAGACTATTTACTAGACTATAGACTAGACTATAGACTAGACTATAGACTAGACTATAGACTAGAGTATAGACTATACTATAGACTAGACTATAGACTAGACAATAGACTAGACTATAGACTAGACTAGACTAGACTAGACTACACTAGGCTAGACTAGACTAGACTATAGACTAGACTAGACTATAGACTAGACTATAGACTAGACAATAGACTAGACTATAGACTAGACTATAGACTAGACTATAGACTAGACTAGACTATAGACTAGACTATAGACTATAAACTATAGACTAGACTAGACTAGACTATAGACTATAGACTATAGACTATAGACTATAGACTATAGACTAGACTAGACTATATACTATAGACTATAGACTATAGACTATAGACTATAGACTATAGACTATAGACTATAGACTATAGACTATAGACTAGACTAGACTAGACTAGACTAGACTAGACTAGACTAGACTAGACTGGACTAGACTAGATTAGACTAGACTAGACGATAGACTAGACTATAGAGTAGACTAGACTACAGACTAGACTATAGACTAGACTATAAACTAGACTATAGAGTAGACTAGACTACAGGCTAGACTATAGACTAGACTAGACAATAGACTACACTATAGATTAGATTATAGTGGAGTTGTATATCCGATAGGTTAGTAGTTAGTGTTCTAATTTGTCAGACCAAAGGTCATGGCTTCTATTCTGGTAAAGACCCGATAGAGGCTTAGATGTTTTTCTTCGAATTTAGAATCCCTCAGTTTTAATTTTGCGTCATTAGTAATAGGTTAAGAATTAACTTTTAGTAATTCCAGTTTTGTTCAAATCTAAACATAAATAAAGGGAATATTTCTGTTTATTTACTTTAAAACTCAAATTTAATAATTACTTCATCATTCTTTTTCAGTTTATTTCAAAAATTCATCGTGAGAAAATTCATTCATCAATTTTAGGTCAAGTTGTTGTTTTTAATAATAATATTATTTATTGGTTAGCTAGATAATTGACTTCTAAAACTCCACTTGTCAAAAAAAAATAGATATAAGTGTATACTTAACGTTGAGATAACTGTTCAGTTTTGTTCTTCTTTAATAATACTATTTGTTTTGCACCTTCAAATCATAATTTCATTTAAACACATTAGCACTGGAATATTTTTTAACAGGTTTTAATGCAAATGATTCATCGACTATAGCTTATTTGAATCTGAAGTGTTTTATGTTTTGAAATAAGTTTATTTAAAAAACATTTTGTCAATAACAATAAATTTTTTTAACAAAATGGGAATTATTTTTAAAATTTGCTAGTTTAGTAAATCTTAATAATTTACAGATAATTTAAATTATCTGTAAATTTAACAAAATGGGAATTATTTTTAAAATTTGCTAGTTTAGTAAATCTTAATAATTTACAGATAATTTTAAACATTTTTCAAACATTTAGTATGTAATTTAAAAAAAAATATAAAATCTTAGTTTGTAATAAAAATGTTTAACATATTAAGAAATTATTTAATAGTTTCATATAAAATGTTTTGTTTCTTATAATAATATACATGGTATTCCCCATTTTTAAATTAAAAATGCGTTAAATAACGTTTTATAAACAAAACGTCACGTTACGTTAAAACTAGTCGCACGAATTACAACTTCTTGCACCTCCACTTATCAACAATAAACTAAACGATTGGCAACCCAAGGTAAACATATGTTTGTTTCTTTTTTTTTTTTTTTGTTTTGTTTCATCATCAGTGTTGCCACAACAAAATTTTTTTTTTAACCAAAATTCGATTAAAAAATAACCAAATTAAGAAAAAAGTAAACAAAATTATTTTTATTTGTTTCATGTTTACATTTGGACATTAAAATAACAAATTCAATTATGGACCAATTCTCATAAAATCTGACAGAGATATTTTAGATCCTTTAACACTTGATTATGTTGAATTTTGTTGCTATATTGCAGTACATTATGAGCTTTAAAGTCATTTTCTGAGGAAACTTTTTATGAGGGATAGAGTCAATTATATACCGATCCTCATAAACTTTGACAAATACATTTCCAAAAAAAACTTTTTCATATTGAATTTCATCGCTATACATGCTTTTTTAAGCAATATAGTAATTTTCTGAATAGGGCATAATATGGGGGCTAGGTGAAATTGTTGACCGATATTTCGTAAGCAAACTGGGTCAACTAAAAATATTTTGGCAAAATATTTCAGTTTTACATTCATAACTTCAACAATATTTGTAAACGTAATCTATCCAAATTATCCGACAAATTTACCAAAATTTAGAATTTAAGACGGTAAAATAAAAACAAGTATACAGCATCATCTAGAAATTGTAAATAAAGAACTAAAAGTCATGGTGAGATATTTAGTAAAAGTCAAAGGTCATGAGTATCTTTGCATATATCGCGATTATTGTTCGTCGTACGAGATTAGATGTTATTACAACTTTTGTAGCCAATACAATTTAATTTTCCTTAGCTGTGTTACTTAAAATATCAGTTGATTAATACTTTAAAGATATTGTGATACTATTTTAGTGTAAATAAAATAATATTACGGTGTTGTTATGATTTAAATCAACTCATTTAATATGTGGAAAATGCATAGGTACTTTTGCTAAATCCTAAACCAATTAAGATATCGAAAAATACCTTTGTGCACATAAGTATAACCAGTAGATGAACAAATTGCAGTAATAAATAAATTTCGAATAGTAAAAAAAATTCCACATATTACCAAAATTCAAAACAGGGACGATATGTATATTTACATAGTTGATTTAAAACTAGAGATAAAAGAAGTTTTTTTTTTAATTTTATTTTTAGAATAAAAGAAACAGCATTAAGTTCAATTGTTTGAAAAAAAATAACCAAAACGAAAAAATAATTCACATGTACACATGCAAAATAAAAATAACCAATTTTGGTTAATAATAACCAAAGTGGCAACACCGTTCATCATCGCTGTTGTTGTTGTTCGTACACAATTGCAAAAATAAAAGAATTGAAGAAAAATAATTTTTCAAGTTTTTGACATTTCTTAATATTTAAATAACTTCTAATTCAACATGAATATTTCCAAAGCAACTGGAGAACAAAAACTTCAACTGTGTCGCACATATTTCCGTGCTGGTTTTGCTTTACTGCCGTTTCTGTGGGCGGTGAACTTCTGTTGGTTTTTCAAAGAAGCCTTTACCAGACAAACGTATCCGGAACAGTCACAAATTAAAAAGTATGTCATTTACTCAGGCCTAGGAACATTTGTGTGGACAGTGGCATTAACGGTATGGATTATTATATTCCAAACGCAACGTGCCGAATGGGGAGCAACAGCAGACTATATGAGTTTTATTATACCACTGGGAAAACCTTAAAGCTGGAGATGATTCTACTCTTTTGATATATAGGACATATAAAATAAGTTAAGTGTAATGAAAATTAAAGTGTTAAATTATAAAGTTTTAGAATATGGAATCTATTGTTTGATGTAAACAATGTAATGTATTTGACAAATATACTCTATTATGATTCATAAAAAAATATTAAACAAATTTGTTTATATCAGGCCTGGAAAATTGTTATTATTAGTATTAACTTTTAGAAATAATAGTACTTTTTAGTATTGAAAGAGTTCGGCGCTTTATAGAATCTTTAAAATTTTTACATAGCATTAGCCTGTAGATTAATCTATGGACTATCCTATGGACTAAAATATAGTATATGAACTAGCCCATAGACTAGTATAGGATTAGCAAATAAACTATAGTTTATTGACTAATAAATAAATAAACATATAGAATAGTTTGTGGACTACCATTTAGGCTAGTCTATGGACTAACATATAGACTAGGCTTTTGACATGTCAATGAACTAAATTATAAACTAATCCATGGACTAGCTTATAGACTATTCCACGGATTGGTCTACAGGCTAGTATATAGACTAGCTGATAGATTAGCTTATAGAACAGTATATGGACAGCTGATTGATTTGGCTATGCACTAGCTTATGTACTGACCAATTTTATCTTGCTAGTATATGGATAAGCATATAGACTAGTCTATGGACCAGTCTATGTACTAATCTATAGACTAGTGTATGGACTGATATATAAACTAATCTATGGACTAATATATAGAGTAGTCAATGTACTAAAAAGACTAGTTTATGGACTAGACTATAGATTAGTCTATGGATGACTAACTTATACATAGTGATCTTTGGACTAATATATGGATTAGTCTATAAACTAGCCTTTTGAATAGTTTATTGACTTTACTACGGATTTGCCCAGAAATACTTTATATTTAGGGATTCTGAAGTGTTTTGTTCAATATTAAAAAAATTACAATAGTAAGTAACATTCCATTCCTGGTTTATATTTTGTTATTGTGTTGTTTAGTGTTACCATTTTGGATATTTTTTTCTCCTTTCTACAGAAATTGGTACTTTTTGCAAAAATGTAGTAAATTATGGACCAATTGATAAAACAAAATAACGCAGTGCGCAGATCCATTAGATTTGTTGCTATCAATCAGCTGTGACGTATATAAAGACCTTTCTTTGTGTTTTCGTTAAAGAAAAGCTAAATTTTCCATTAAAAATTTAAACAATTTATAATATGATGTGCCGATGTGCAGTAAGAAATTGTAATAATAACAATAAGACAAAACCGTGCACAATAAGTTTCTTTAGCTTTCCATCGGATCCTAAATTATTAAAGCAATGGAGAAGTTTTTGTGGACGCGGCAAAGAATTAAATCCAAGGACCTCACAAATCTGCATGGAACATTTCAAACCGGAAGATTTTGAAAATGAATTACAATTTAAATTGGGTAAGTTATGAGTAACATGTAAAATCTATACAAAATGAATTGTTTTTAATGTTTACGAATCTTGCTTAAAAGGCTTTACCAAAAGGCGCATTTTGAAGAGCGGTGTAGTGCCTAGCGTACGGAAATTATCGACGGAGGAAAAAGAACGTGATAAGCGCAGACAAAAGCGTGAAAACAAAAAAATTGTAGAAATGCTTATTAAGGAACATGATGAGAAATCCGTTGCGCTTAAAGGTAAGAAAGTAATAGTATGTCAAGTCCGACAATATGATGGTCATTGTGGGAGTGTATCTCGCCGATAGCTGGCATCTTCTGAAAACTGATTTCAATGTTATAAAAACAGACTCGAAGTACACGAAGTACAAAAAATTTCTTACAATTAGGATTTACTAATTTTAATTCAAATCTAAAAGTTATAATAACTTTACATTATACATAATTATTTCTAGCAGATGTAATAAATAAACCATCAGAACAGGCAAGGAAAACTGAAATTGTAATGAAACCTGAATTGAATCCAGTATCTGATCTTCCTTCCCAACCTCAGAAGGTATTCTCTTTGAATAATAATTATGATATGGATTCCTATAAAATTGAAATGTAAGTACGAATACGATTATTCAGATTTGTTTGCTTTCAATAATTAAGTGTGTTCACTTCCAGAGAACGACTGCGTAAAGAAAACTATATCCTAAATGAAAACTCAAAAAAGCAGGCGGCTGAAATAAAAGCTTTAATGAAGAAAAATGAGAAAGAGCACGAAAATTATGAACATAACCTAAAAAGTTTAGAAACGAAATTAACGAAGACTAACTATGAATTAAAGAATTTGGAAGAAAAGCTTTTAGGTATTTTTACTAAACGTCAAATTGAAAAATTGAAAGTAGGTGACAAGCGCATAGTTTGGTCCGAAGAGGATCTATCCCAAGGTCTTGTGTTATATGAAACGAGTCCTAAACTTTATAAACTGCTGTATAGCAAACATTTTCCTTTGCCTTCCGTACGCACTGTACAAGTATGGCGTAAAAAATGTCAAGATATTGAAAAGGAAATAAATCACTTTATAGAAAATGATGTCGAGGACCATCTAGAGAATGAAATAAAAGAAAATCTAGAGAAACAAATAGAACTAGATTTAGAACAACAAATTAAAATGGAAATTGAAATTGATGAAATAAATTAGTTTTTTGTTGACAAAATAACACATTTACATGAATATTTTACCAAATAAAATTATTTTAGTTTTTTTGTAATCTTCTAATCTAATGTTTTTTTTTCCAAATTGTGAAATAAGAGAGAGGCATGCATAGCAACATTATATACTCAACTTGTATATCAAAGTCACGGCTACCAACATCATGAATATAGATGGCATTCCAGAATTGAATTTTTGAAAATTAACTTAGAGAAATTTCTGCAAGGGATTGGTCCAAAGTGTGCATACCCTCTCCCTTGAAGTGAAGAACTTACTCTGTATATGGAATTCCATAATGAACATAAACACACATCTTGATATGGACAAATAAGAAAAAGGAAAGCATGGTTACCATACTCTGTACATCGCCTTAAAGTGGAAATGTTATATAAGGATCATGGCTACTACATCTTGCATATAGAGTTACCCAATTTAGTTAGTTTTTTTAAAATCACCTTTGATAATTTTTTAGATTTCTCTAAGTGTTCAAAAAAGGGAAAGCATGTTTAGCCATCATATGATATAAGGGTCATGGCTACCACAACTTATTGTATATGAAATTCCCGTATTGAAGTTTTAGACTGACAGTTGTTGTAACAGTTCGACTGTGGCCGATAGTTCTTTCCTGAAATTAAAATAATAAACACTTAATTATTTGAGTTTGTGTCTGTGGGTGGAAGGGGGAGCTGGAGAAATTGCGCCACCTCAGTTGGTCTTAACCATAGGTCTATAGGGCGCAAATTTGTAGACCTATCGAGACAATTGAATAAATGCACCGTGTAATGAAGACTTTGATGACAGGCAGGGCAACGATTTAATGTGGATGGAATGATTCGTTCACGGTAGAAGTTGAGGAAACTGCACCAACCGGCTCTTAATTGTGCCAAGATGGTTCCAGAATGTTTCTCACAAATCGAGATCACAGGTGGCTGTTCATTTAGGTCTCTGTTGTATCTGTAGCCATTAATGGCTTCGGTGTCCGCCATTTGATGCAACATTTCACGGGCGCTAGCAATTGACAGTCTGTCGACGTCCGATGGTATGTCGCTACGAAAGCGTCGAAAGTTCATCCGGATGTGCCTGGGAGGGGGATTCTCTATCAGAATCTGATGGTTGGGATGACTAGGCAGATGGCATATCAACAGGAACTGTCTAGTCAACAACACATTATGTTGTCTGACTGACAGTTTCCTGGTCTTCTTATGTAAATGTGGATCATTTGTCATCTTGGCGCATACGGTTGCAATTCGAAGTGCATTATTCTGAGCCGTTTACAAACCTCACCATTGGTTATCACTGAGGAAAGAGCTACATACTGGGGCAGCATAATTGAGAAGAGAGCGACCAATACCCTTATATGTCGCTACAATCGTCTCCTTATCCATGCCCCAAGAGGTGCCAGCTAAAGCTTTAAGCACCTTATTTCTCTTTCGAACCTTTTGGTTTATGAAGTTCGCGTGCCCTGCGAAGTGAAGGAGGCTGTCAAAGAATACCCCTAATATTTTCGGGTTTTGAGTTGTGGGTTTTGTTTAGCGCCGCCCTTCTTTGGTGCAAGAGGTGAAAAGTGATACCGAGAATTTAGAAGCACATAACCTAAGTACTGACAGTTGTAGTGAAATTTGCTTCGCCCGCTAATTTTACTTGGATATTCAATGGTATCAGTGTTTTGCCACGGGCACTTGTACGAGAAACACAAGATTGTTATGCAAATCATTTCCCCAACCAACACACAAGACTCCGATCTTGCATTAAGATATAAAGTTTGAAAATGCTCTGCTGAAAACTAACAAAAAACTAATTATATAGTTTTTTCCATAACACAGAATTATTCTCACATCGAAGTATGTTGTAGTACAATTGCTGTGGAATTATCCAAAGCATAGTGTTGCTGTTACTCTAAGATTAGGCAAACCATCGCCACCAGTCACTGCTGTGTGTAGTTGCATTGATGTAAATGTGAATATTTTGTAAAGATGGTTGTTGTTTGCATCATTCTGATCTGAAATACCAAGTGGTATTTGACCCATTGGTAGAGGAGGATTATCATCGTCTATATCCATGGGAACTGAAAGCTCCTCCTCAATATCAATATCCATTGGTTCTTCCATTGGCAATTAATTGCCTTGGAACGTTTTATATTTTATATATGTATATATATTTTTTGGTATTTTTTTATTAATTACAGGTTTTTTTTTTATTACTTCGCAATCAATCTATATATTTCTCAATATATTTCTTTGGTTGTCTTGTTGTTGTCAGGATTCGATCCTTGTATCTCTTGTGTTTAAGGCTTTGTCTTCAGCACTGGTCTATATATCTCGGGGGATTACTTACGAATTTTTTGCTAATATAAGCAAGTTGCTTATATTCAAAGTTCCAATTTTATACCGATAATAGGACATTTTTCTATATTTCTGAAAAGTTTTCATAATGTGGATTTCATGTTTTAAAATATCTCTAAACTATGAGCATTTATTTATTTTGGTTTTATTTCAGGATAACTCTAATATTGAGCCCAAACCCGATGTGATCACTAGTTGTGTTGCCAACCTCTAATATTGAGTCCCAAACCCGATGTGATCACTAGTAGTGCTGCCAACCTCCAATATAAAGGCCCAAACCCGGTGTGATCACTAGTAGTGTTGCCAATCTAATGTTGTTACTATTTTTAGAATAATTTAGGAGTAATTGGTGCGGCTAACACAGTGTCCTGTGCAGGCATGGAAAATTAAATTTTGAAATAGTACTAATTTATAATAAAAAGGGTACTTTTTAGGATTTAAAGTACTAAACTATTTTACCGCTAGACTACAGACAAAACTATAGTTTAGATTAATAGACTATAGGCTAGTCTATAGAATAGACTATAGAATTGAATGCTACATATGAGACGATAGACTACGAAATAGACTAAAATATAGATAAGACTATATACTGACCAATCCAGTCTACTACTGATTACTATGTTGACTAAGAGCCGTAGAGGTACCGCGGCAAAAGTACTGAATATTCCATGTCTGGTTCTGTGTTTACAAAAATTTTCCAACTTTGCCATACATATTTTAAATAAAATTTTTCAAATACAATCTTGTGGCAACCCCCTTACGTCTGACTTTGAAATGTGATTTGTCACATTTAAACCTAGGATTCTGAAGGGTTCTATATTTGAAACAAAAAGTTGTCAGTTTGCAATTTATAACAAGTAGATTCATTCGACAATTTTGTCACAACTCTTAGCTTATAGCTCCCATACAAATTTACATAAAAAGGCGTCTACTGAAAATCGCTTAATAAATAACTGGTGAATTAATAATAATTACGAGTTACCCAACTGTATAACGTTGTTTGGTTTGTGTCCTTACTAATGAATCACAACATTACCAACTGGTCAAAAGTACAGTCCATTAGTAGATACAGCAGTATCTAACTGCAGTATCATAACTAAATATGGTGAACTTTTCTCTAAACTCACAAATTTAGACAATTTTGTAGCATTTCCGAAACCCAATTTATTCTCCGAACTACTAAGCTATCTTCAGTTTCTCTTTAAGATTCAGTTTGCTGCAAACATGTTCTTCATGTGACAATGATTGATGGAAAAGTTTTGTTTCCAACTTTTGTAGCAACGCCAACGATTATGAATAAATTAAGTGGAACAAGAAAATGTGTAAGTTGCGTTAAAAAGTGTATGTTTAGACAAACGATCTAGATTTTTACAGGAAATATGTATATGTACATATGTATGTATGTGTGCATATTTTATATGTAAAATGTAAGTTGTAAAAAATCCATTCAAAAATGCAGAAAATTTTTATTTGCATCGTCATTGGAAGTAGCGTCGCTAATATTGTCAACATCTCGCAGTTCTTTTGAAATACTTATTAAATATTTATTTCGATATTTGAATGCAATATTATTTTCATTTGATATTTTACAATTTTCTGCAAACACATCCCTAACTTGTTGGGTTATCGTTACATTTTTGGTGTGAATTTAATCTTTTTTATTTGAGAAAACATTGGATTTTTATTATACCACAAATATATATTTCCTACAAGTACAATTACTATAAATACAATAAGCATATAATCTTAATATTGACTTGGATTTTTCAATTTCAATAATTTTTCAAAATTTTACAAACTGTATACAGTAGCTCCAAGCAAAACCCGGACATTTTAGTAAAATAAATTTAAAGGCAAATCTTGTGAAATTTTAATTATAAAAAAACAATTGTTCGATTTTAATTAGTATATTTATTAAGCTATTAGATACAGAAAACAAAATTAAATTTCATTGTTTATAGCTTAAAATAGACTCAAAAATCTTCAACTACTTCAAAAAAAAAAAAACAAGTAAGAGTTCTATATTCGGCTGTGCCGAATCTTACATACCCTTCACCATGATGTGTTAAAAACCAGTCAGTACTAAATGTAAAACGGTAACGTACCAAAAAGTCCCCTTTTATGGGTTCTCACTTAATCCGGGCCATACATGCTAAATTTCATGTTTCTAGGTTCAATATAATAGAAATTTCAAAAAGTACCTTTTGAAGAACGAAAAAGTACCAAAAAGCCCCCTTTTATAGGTTCTCACTTAATCCGGTCTCTACATACCTACTTAATTTCATGTTTTTAGGTTCAATATTATAGAAATTACAAAAAGTACCTTTTGGAGAACGAAAAAGTACCAAAAAGTTCCCTTTTATAGGTTCTCACTTAATCTGGGCCTTACATACTTAATTTCATGTTTTTAGGTTCAATATTATAGAAATTTCAAAATTTACCTTTTGAAGAACGAAAAAGTACCAAAAAATCCCCTTTTACAGGTTCTCACTTAATCCGGACTCTACATACTTAATTTCATGTTTCTAGGTTCAATATTATAGAAATTTCAAAATTTACCTTTTGAAGAACGAAAAAGTCCCCTTTTATGGGTTCTCACTTAATCCGGGCCATACATGCTAAATTTCATGTTCCTAGGTTCAATATAATAGAAATTTCAAAAAGTACCTTTTGAAGAGCGAAAATTTACCAAAAAGTCCTCTTTTATAGGTTTTC